CCCCCTTAGAGTGTGGACCTGACGGCTCTGTGACCCCCTGAGAGTGTGGACCTGACGGCTCTGTGACTCTCTGAGATGTGGACCTGATGGCTCTGTGACCCCCTGAGAGTGTGGACCTGACAGCTCCAGGACCTCCTGAGAGTGGGTCATGCAGGATGTGTCCTCTGTGTCTGGCTCATTTGCTGAGCATCCTTCATCGGTGCGGTGCTTGTGTTTCTTTTCGAGGCTGAATGGTGTTTCTCATGTGGATGGACCACACCGCCTGAAGGTTCACTCATCAGTGGGCGCTCGAGTCGCTCCCCGATTTAGCTGCTGTGACTCACAGTGCTGTGGACGTGTCTGCGGCCTTCAGATCTTGTGTCAACCTTCGCTGCCACAGCTTTGAGTGGCTCATTACTACCTGAGAAGATTTTTGAGCACAAAATAATAGACTGAGCCTTTAGGGCAGTGGTTCTCAACCTTCCTAATGCCGCAGGCCTTTAATACAATTCCTGTGGGTCGAGACTCAAAGGTCGAGAGCTGTTGCTGTAGAGGTTACTCCCTTGTCTTAGGTGACAGAAACAGGTCGGTGAAAACTATCTGTCAACTTTTCTCTTCTGTCTGGCATCCATAACCACCATCCCTTTTCTCACACGTTTGCCCCTTTCTGGAGGCATCCAGGGATGGGTCGGCATTTAGGATGAAGGTGCCGAGTCGTCCTCTGCGTCTCGATTAAGCATTCTCTGTGGGGTCCATTCCTTCTGCCTGTCCCCCAAATCATAATGCTTTTGACAGAGAGAGAGGGAGCAAAGGTTTCCAATGGTTAAAGGAATTGGAAGGAAAAAAAGAAACTCACTGTGGTGGGGGCTGATGGCTGGGCTTCTTTCTCTCCATTTTCCTGTCTATGCATTTGGGGCAAAGTTGCCAGAAGAGGCCAAATGCAAAGAGCCCAGAGACGGGGTCTCTGCACCACATTTACTGACAGCCTAGTGTGCACCAGGCTCTGGGGCACAGGAGAGCCCAGCCTCTGCCTCCTCAGAGTGGCCAGTCTGGTGGTGAACATGGACATGGAATATGTACTCTGCATGTTGGGGAGAATGG